GAAAAAAAAAAAAATGCTGGACACTGAGTGAATTTGCTGAGGTTTAGCTAACTGCTAAATCAATCTAAAGTTTTTCTTGTTTTGTTTATTATTTAACTGAGGAATTTCAGTGCTAAAATGTTGTATTAATAGCAAATTAGTATCAGCTTGAATTTCTGAACTCTGCCAACACTTTATATCATATTTTATCTGCATGCAGTTCATCTTATTTTGTAACAGCAATTGTTTTCAATTCTATGGTAAACAACGTTGACATTTTTATGTATTCAATACACCATTTCACATCATCACAATGTTAGTCAAATTATTGAACCGTATGATTACAGTAACTTTGGCAGACTGTTGTAAAAGTTGTAAGTTCCCTGATTTGTTGTTTTATTTTGTTAAAAAACAAATACCAAAGCAGTTTTTTCATCTTTATTTGAATAAACCAGATTTCTTACATGTGTGGAGGGATACTGATGGTATCAATCCTTATAATAAGGTCACATGTAGAAATTAATAGATTAATATTATATGCATTATTCAAATAATATAATACATTTAGCCAAAACTGTTATCTGTTAAATGTGAATAATTTCCTCTCCATTTTATCATCCAAATTCTCTGAAGCATCATCACAGGAAGTATTCAGAAGATATTAGAAGTCATGAAGTCTTATGATTCATAAACATAAGGGCATCAATCTTTGCTACACTAAAAGTAAACCCCAAATAGTTCCCTTTACACACCGGCGAGCTACTCCACTACTCCTCTACTACTGTTTTATTATTTTCGTCTCGGTTGTTGATCTTCCAGCTTGACTCATGTGGATTTCCATTTCTCAGTCCTGCTGTCTGGGATGGAAAGAAACTTGTGGTATGAATCTGTTCTCCATCTTCCTACTTTCTGGCCTCTCAGCCAAACTTATGGATGGACAAAGGTCTATGAGTTTTGCTCTGTTTGAAGCAGAGCCATGATGACAGAACTGCTTCCTGTAGGAAACGTGTTCTATTGATGTCTCTAGCTGAAGTACAGGCTATGGATATAAATATAGTAATTGTAAGATGAAAAGGCTTTTGTATGGAAGAGCTTGTATAAGGTGTTATTTTTGTGGCGCATCCAATGGCGGTGCAATGTAAGAAACTTTATACTGCTGCCAAAGGTAAGAACATATCAAAACATCTTATAATAATTGTGATTTAGTACGGATTATTAAAGTAGTTTTAACAATAAATCCCAGTCTGCGATTCAATTTCCAAACTTTCAAACTATGTACTGAATTTGACAACAAACTAGATGAAGTATGCAGTTGTGTGGAATAAATAGTCCATGGCCAACTACATCTGCAATGTTGACATTGTCCTTTGACTATATGATCTTGTCATGTGATGTTGCCCTACTAGCAAAAACCACAAAAAGATTTACTTAAGTACTAAATAAGTACAATTCAGCAATGCAGAACATACTTCCTGGTACTTACAACACTTAAACTTGAAAAGAGACACTCTTCTAGTTCGACACTATTTTTAATTCAACTATTGGCCTCATGGGATAGCAAAGCATTCACTGGCTGCACATTTCAGAAGCTCAGTGGCTTGGCGGATGCAGAAGGTCATCCGGGTTCGCCTACTGTATCTTGAATACTAAGCAGTCTGACATCCTTCCCATTTGGCATACTGTTTATGCATACTGTGTAGCTGGGTTGTTCTCATATTCAGATGCAGAGCCAGTATTTGCGTTAGCTGTAAACATTCATTCCCTTCCTCAGCTCAGAACAAACCTGGGATGAATCGTAAAATAGCCCAACAGTTGGTCCGTTCTTTCCCTTTACCTCTTCCAACCATCTGCTCCTATCTCTATCCCAAACCACACCTTTATGTCAGGCACGTCAAAAGTTAACTACAGATCTTTCTGCACAAGTCTGAGCTAGCACTAAAAATGAGTGTTTTATTTAAAACAGTAGAGTTGCAGGCAGACAACCCAGCCTTCCAGAGGAATGGAGGGTCTGGGGTGACCATGTGATAGTTAGACAGAAAGACACTGTGGGAGTTCTTTTGTCCATGTGTTAGAAACAGATGATGGATAGACAGTTCTGGCTTTTCGTTTGAAATATCTTTACCACTTTATAGCAGCCTGGGCATTTAAGTTCACCACAAGCTGATTTTGCAGGACCAAACACACACACAAAAAAAACTTTTGATGTTGATGACCAGATGTTGATGATGAAATGCAGTTTTCTGTCTCCTCACCCACAGTCTTTCGAAGCCCTTTTGACTTTATTCTGTGGAGCACAAAAGGAGTTCATTTGTAGTATAGCATAGAATGAAAAATCAAAGCTTATAAGTTTCTGGAGCTTGGCAGACCCTGCTCCTTTCACATCATTGCATGGATGATAGCAGGGTCTTGGTTAAATACATTGATTGTTGATTGGATAGAGGCAGATCTGAATGTGAGCTTGCAGGCGATTGTAAGGAAGGGGCAGGTTTGGAGAAGTCAGACAGAGAGAAGTCTCTTTTTTTGTTGGAAGACTAAGTTATGACATCTTTTATTTAATATCACAAGCTAAACATATGGTGAATTTCCATTGCTTTGTTTTGTGTTTCATGCGAGAAAGTCAGTCATCTGAAACAACATGATGACATTTTTATTTTCAAATGAATTATTCCATAACCTAACCTAAGTGCATTGATAGGACACTGTAATGTTGCTGTAACAAAAGTGAATGTTGCCATGTCATGTGTTTTGTGTGAGTGTGCTTGTCAGCTGTGCAATTGAGGCCTTGCTAGAAAACCAGAGTCTGTTATTCAGCATCTACTCGAAACTGGATAGACTTAGTGGGGAAAGAGACCATTGTGATGTTTATTAGCTCGTCCTCCTACAGCTGATCTCTTGAGAGAGAGGCCACAAGAGTTTCCTGTTGTTGTTTAGAATAGGACCGTTGTGCTGCACTGTCATGCTATGTGAGAACACAAAAAAGGCTTGCAAAGGTTCCCTGAGGGGATAAAATCTGTTTATTTGATACATGTGATATTGTCAGAACATTATAAACTTGATTTGTGTGGCTCTGGACAGAGAAATGTTGGGAATTTTTCTTTGAAGTCGACATGAAATGGAAATTTCCCCTATCTATCTAAATGCATCTTAATGTTCTTAATGGTTTTAATTAAACATTTCATAATTTGTCATGTTTCAGTGAAATGACAGACTCTTCTCAAACTTATTCAATCTTTTAGTCTGCCAAACCCCCAACATTTTTACAATTGACTGCAAGCTTTCATTCAGATCTGGCACCTAACAGATCTGCCACTCCAATCAACATTTATGGGTTCCACCATAATTTTTTTTTCCTTTTATGATAATCGCAGCTCAACATAAGAATGTTGGAAGTTGCTTAATATCTGTAAAGTGTAAAGTAAAGTAGTGAGCAATGTTTTGGTGGCTCTTTTACGTCATAAGATCCAGACCCTGATCAATCCAGTTTGTGATTGAATCATTCAGACTGGTTTTGTGAACCGGTTCTTGAATGATGAGTTAGATAAGACTATGCTGGTGTAAATACGTCTTTTGTGGACCTCTTTGGGCATGGCCAAACATCTGGAGATCTGACAGGGCATGTGTGCTTTGTAAAGTGAGATTGTGTGAGATTTGATGGTCCCAAACCGCCTCTGCTCACTCTAGCCCTCCGGCCATTCCTCACGCTAGCCCCCAGCTTTTGCTCACTCTAGGCCGCCGCCGCCGCTCACTCAAGGCCATGAGCTTTGTAAAAATCTACGTGTTTCAGAAAGGCGGGGCATAGAGGAGAAACAATAATGTACAGTATGTGGAAAATAATGTGTTTTTTGAACCTTAAACCGCATAACACATTTCATTACACCAAATACACAAAATAATGTTCTTTTTAGCAGCATCATATGACCCCTTTAAAGGGCAGTTCACCCAAAAATGAAAATTCTTTCATTATTTACATGTATGCATCATGGTACTTTCATGAACATGCGTTGACTAACATGGAAGAGAAGAAATTGTTGAATAAAGTCGTTATTTTTGTTTTTCTTTGCGTGCAAAAAGTATTCTCGTAGCTTCATAAAATTATGATTGAACCACTGATGTCACATGGACTATTTTAACAATGTCCTTACTATCTTTCTGGGCCTTGAACATGTCAGTTGTGTTGTTGTCTATGCAGGGTCAGAAAGCTCTCAGATTTCATCAAAAATATCTTAAATTGTGTTCCAAAGATGAATGAAGGTCTTACGGGTTTGGAACGATATGAGGGTGAGTAATTAATGATTTTTGGGTGAACTATTCCTTTAAGATCAGAAATCATGAATCCTCTTTTATTCCAGACAATAGCATCCTTTCAACAGGATAAAGATTTGCTCCTTTTCAGTTGCGCAATGGGACTTTAATCAGTGCCCTACCCAATTCAAAGACCTTCTATATCCCACTTTCCTCTTCTACATCTTGAAATGTCTACAACAGGATCCAGATGTTGAAACAGATGTTGCCTGGTTACTACCCACTGCCTTTTCATTCATTGTGAAGCTATGTGCAACTTAAGGAGAGAGAGGGACCTGCTGGGATATGGTAAGAGTGCAGGATTAACTCTCTAACATCACTGTACCTTTCACCAGTTTTTGCATTCCAGCTTAATTCTACCTTTCACGGGTTGGGACTAGTCTCCATCAGTGCAAAAGGACAGCCAGATGATGTGCATTACCTGAGGGGGCGGCCTAGTTTAACAGGGTGTAAAAGATTCCTCAAAGTCATGAAGGATGGAGATGAGATATGTCCATCGAAAAGAAAGAGTTAAATGTCTCGAAGCCACCTGCAACTGTTTGGAGGGTGTCATATTTGCCAGTGGCCCCCACCTCCCGAGGCTCCACAGACCCTCACTGCACAAAGAAAAGAGTAAGAAAATAGAGAAAAAAGTGCTGTGCTAGCAATAAGTAACCAATGCATGTTTGCGGAAAGACAACTCTACACGTATCTTTCGAACTTCTACACACCCTCTTAATCAAGCTCACCAGCTGATGTCAAAGGTTTGGCCTTGGGGAAGTTACACTACCAACAATAGTAATTTAATAAGGCTGTGTCTTCTGATGCATGTCCGGGCCAGAAAGAAAGTGGGAGAAACTGCAGGCTGGACTCAAACTGGAGAGGAGAGCAGGCGGACCAAGAGATTGACTGCAACCGCAAAACCAGAACCAGACACTTCGCCTCCACCTGCACAAAACAAAATCAGCTCTATGACTGAGATGAGCAGGTAATATTTTTCATTTCTTTGTACTTTATGTGGTGGTGATGCAATAAGGAAGTGGGTGGTGGGTGTGGGGGTTCATGGTTTTTCTGTAGTTGAGTATTGAGATATTTTAAACGCCACTTCCTTGTATTTTCCGTATACTTTCTACTTTCTTTGTATAAGATAATACATTTTGTATTTTAATTGTAATTGGAAAAAAAATATTGAATCGTAATAGCTAGCAACAGGATCATGAACTTGAAATGTGTATGTATTACGTATGTACTGGCATCTAATTAATACCATGGTATAGATCAAAATACTATGGTATGACCATATCACCCCTGTACCATGGTACCAGGACAGTTTGATTTTAAAGGAAAGTCCTAGATTTTTCTTGTGTAAGCAGCGGAGGAGGTGTGTTATAATGTGCAATTAATTATTTCAACTTCAATTAGTTTATCTTTTTGTAAAGCTAGCATTAATGGATGCGCTCTAAATGTAAATTCTACTGATGATAGAACTAATGCAGCTTTTTGATGTTGGCTAAAACAATTAGATGATACAGAACATTTCATTAGAGGTTTCTGTTCAAATCATGTTTCTTAGAAGCATAAAGATGTGAAATTGGACAGTGGACATTTGGACGGCACACTAGCCACAGAGCTAGAGCCAAATGTGGAACGGTGTGTAATTAACATAACTGGCTGAGACACAATGCCCCAAACAGGAAATTAAACCTCTTTGAGAGCATGTGTTTTCTTTTAGGTGAAGCATAAAATTTGTGTTGACTATGTTGTCATTTCTCAGTCATAGTTTCCCCCCCCACCTATGATGGATTTTATCCTTGTTGCATTTCATTTTGATGATCAACTTCTGTTCTTTTCCATTCAAAGATGCTGGTATATTAAGTATTTTGCTATTAAAGATATTAATTAACCACAAAGACCTAGCATTCAAATATTGTTTACCAGTCTCAGAGTTAAAAATGTTTAGATGTCTTGTGAGGTTTCATGAAGATACCTGCAAAAACATAACAATTAGCATTAGCACTTAGCACTGAGCAGTTTGGACTGTTCTGATCATAACCAATAGATGTGACTATTTAATCCCTGACTTGCTGCTCTCACGCAAGTTAGGACAGTCCACCTACCTGGGTGACTAGAAAATCCAGTCTGAAATCTGTAAGCCATGTCTAGTCTCACAGGTGCGGATATTAGAAAAGTTGGCACCAGCTATGATCTGGGGCTTTTGTCGCAGACTAGTCGTAAACACAATAGGGTGACAAGGTTTAGTCTTGTGTAATCTTGGTCTCAGAGACTTATAGAGGAGCAAGTCTTTAATATTTTCCCCTGTTGACACTATTAGATGTATATAAATATTGCATAGTTTGTCTGCATGTATTGAAGCCATCATTGGAATAAACAGATATCCAAGATACAGAGTATTTTAATAGGCCTAAACCTCCTACAGCTAGATGCTAATTGCTGCCCTGAAAATGACCTCTTGTCATGTCCTGTATTTCGGAGCCTAATGCTCTTAGTTGCCGATTTAGTGTTGCAGACCTCGACACAGACGTATTCCGCGTTTAGAGCACTTTTCGGTTCCTGTGAATAATAGGTTTTGAATTCTGTAACTGGATTAGGTTGGTGTTTGTACGCTCTGCCCTTTAGACCACTGGTTCTAACGTAGAGCAGCACCATCCTTGACACGAGATGCTGGATAATAGACTGGATTACTAATGGTCGTAGATTTCGACTGGAGGAGCCCATTACAGGGGATTACAATGACAGAGTAAGTAGTTGTTGTCGTCAGCGGAATTGAGAGCAAGTAATGACACAACACAATCAATGCTTGGCAGTCAAACAAAGACACCATACAGTATGTGGCTACCTGTGCCGACTTCAAATCAGCCTCTAAATCCAGACTAGTGCTCCCGTGGGGACAGAAATTTCAGCACATGATTTTTGGCAATTGTACACATTAAATAACAAACATGCAGACTTTTCTCATTACTCATTTTGCAACTGTAAGCATCGCCAAAAATAAAGCAGATCAATTGTCATTTACCAGTCAAGCTGAGAGGAAATGCATAGATAGATAGATAGATAGATAGATAGATAGATAGATCAACTCTGATTCATCAACTTAGTGGTCTGATTGAGACATTTGTTTACTCAAAGACAGGTGTTGTTTTGAGGGGTGATGAAGAAAAGGATGAAGCATGGTATATAGGCCTGTATTAGCCTAATTATAACTGGGCCATGGCCCATGTCTTCTTTTGACCAACACGCTGGTTTAAGCATTGTCCATCCCCACAGGATTATGACTCTTGATCTCAAGAGGCTATGATTGGCTAAGGCTGTGTCCAGTGTGTCCGTCTGTGAAGGGATCATGAGATGCCATTGACACTACAAATAGGGGCAGGAAAGGGCAAAGTAGTTCAGAGTTGAGGCATCTGTACCCACAGCAAGAGATACAGTAGCAGAGCCCCAAGAAGTCAAAGGTAAGACTCTAGCATTTGTGCAATGGTAATGTGCAGTTAATTTTATTTTATTTTTTTGGCAAAGACAGTGCCCACTTCTTCCATACCAATAGAAAGCCTCCAGAACTACATACTGTGAGCTAGGAGCCATTTTTCTGCTTTGATCTCCATGGCTTTGTATTTAATTTGTCTTGCAGAAGTGCACGGTGATGAGTATTCATTTATGGCACTAAAGTTTTCAGCTGTATTTTGATGCATTTATCCACTGAACAGGTTCTGCAAAGCCAGTATGGAGGTCATGATTTAAAAGGCTTTTCTTACTTTGAGAGATCTTAACAGGTGAAGCTGGCTCCACCTGATCTGATCACTCGGTACCCAGGGCTTCCCTTTGATCCCTTCTGGTTTAGTGTGAGACTGCTGCCCATAGAAAATGATCTCCAGACAGTCACTTGGAGCTCAGGACCAAAAATGTAAACCAGATGAGACATATTATTTCTTGCATACACACTTGACAAAGCTCAAACTTGCATATGACAGATAGGAATTTTTTTGTATGTATGTGTCCCTATTGTAACATGACGGCCAGGTCTTGTTAAAAACCATGCTGTGTTCAACCCGATTTCACAGCAATTTATACATATTTTACAAGGTGGCTAATTTGTATGAATTCGTATGACCTGGCTCGTACAAATTCAGACATTTTGTGAAAAATTTTACATATTTTACAAGGTGCCCAATTTGTAGGAATTTGTACGAAAGACCACTCCTAACCCCAACTCTAAACCTACCAGTGGGGTCGTACGAAATCGTACGAATTAGCTACCTCATAAAATATGTACGAATTGGTCGTGAGATAGCATTGCTATGTTTGGTATATCTTCTTGTATTCAGAAATAGAACATATCTGAACCCTTATGTTTGCCAGAGTCCAAGATGTAACTTCTGAATGGAGATGAAAAAAGTCTAAAGTCAATTAAGGTTGACCTGGCAGCATATTCTGAGTTTAAGAGGATTACTACTTAGAAGATGAAGACACAGGGAAAGATAATCTTAACTAGAGGATGTTCCTAATTTTTTGTCAATGAGTTTATCCACTCAGAGAACCTGAGGTAATGTAGGGTGGATCTATAGATATTCTTAGTATGGGGGACAAACATTGTTCCAGGCCCTGTAACAACTCTTTATCTCTAAGAGTTATATGGTTTTAATATTGTTAACAGCTGTTTTTGTTTCTTCTCTGTTTCTATCAGTTTTCAGGTTAAACCTAACCATGGAGTGGCTCATGGTTGCATTTGTAACCCTACTTCTGGCTGGCCAAGTCAGCTCTGAAGAAATTCCGTATGAGCACCTTATGTCTCAGATCCAGGCATGTCCTAAAGAGTGCCGCTGCCCTCCAAGTTTCCCTAATGCTGTTTACTGTGACAATACGGGTCTGAAACGCATACCTGTCATCCCTCCCTACACGTGGTACCTGTACCTTCAGAACAACCTGATTGATGTCCTGTCAGCTAACGCTCTGCGCAATGCCACACAACTAAGGTGGATCAACCTGAACCGTAACAAAATCACAAGCGAAGGCCTGGAGGCAGATGCTCTAAAGGCTATGTCTAACCTTGTACATCTCTACATGGAAGACAATTTGCTTTCTTCCATTCCATCTTCTCTGCCTGCCAAATTACAGCAGTTACGGCTCTCCCGAAACAGAATCTCAAATATCCCACCCGGTGTTTTCTCTGGAATGGACCATCTCACCTTGCTGGATCTGCAAGGCAACAAGCTACAGGATGATGCAGTAACTGAGGTCAGTCTGAAAGGCCTCAACAACTTGATCCAGATCAATTTAGCAAAGAATCAGCTAAATACCATGCCCCTTGGCCTACCACCCACAACCACACAGATCTTTTTGGACAGCAACAACATTGAAAAGATTCCGGCTGAATACTTCAAGGGTCTTCCCAAAGTGGTGTCTCTCAGGCTCAACCGCAATAAGCTGGCTAATGGAGGTATCCCAAAAAATGTGTTTAATCTTTCCAGCATCCTGGATCTACAGCTTTCTCACAACCAGCTCACAGAGATACCCGTTATCTCTTCTGGACTGGAGCACCTGCATCTGGATCACAATAAGATCAAGAGTAAGTTCAAGATCAAAGTTCTGAACATGCACTATTGTACATATTGACTTCCTTTGTATTTTTGGCAAAATCCTTTAGTAATTAGTTAAAGACAGGCCCCAAAGTATCTCTGTTCATACTGTTGCCCGTATGGTCACATTATTGTTCTATCCAAAGCATATGACTTCATTTCTACCATTAAATAAGCAATATAGTAAATTTTAGTAAATAAGTTTCCTTAAGAAGCAACTTCATAAGCAAAACACCACGTTATTGACTGTTATTGTAATAAGTTATTGACTGACTGGGCTGCAAGGAAGCCGTCTTAAGGCTCTGGTAAACTTAATTTTCCACATTCTGCTCCATCTTGCATGCAGCCGTGTCCGGATCCTCCTGATAAGAAAAATTATTGTACACGGAAAGTGCGAAGTATACTTTGGACTTTAAACTTTGGATGCACGTCTATGACTTTATCAGTAAGATGTGTATTTTTTTTCTCTTTAATTTCCATAGGTGTGAATAGCTCTGACATCTGTCCACCTGATGCACTCCATGACTACCTGGATGAGAAGAGTCCACGTCTCCGTTACCTTCGCCTTGATGGTAATGAGATCAAACCCCCTATTCCACGAGAGCTGATGATGTGTTTCCGTCTCCTCAGGGCTATTGTCATATAAAGATGCCACGCCATCTAGATACTCCTGTCCATTTAATATACCAGACCTGAAAATGTATGGAAACTAAAACACATGAAAAGGGTCCAAAAAAGGACTATCTATTTGCAAAGTCAGAAAATAAATATAAAAATATGTACACTGCTGAAAAGACTAGTTAAGACTAGAATGAATTTCAATGTGGGTCCAGTTTCACTTATGCTGGTCTAGTTCTGGACTAGCTAGTGAAGCGAATCTGATAAAGCTTTTGACCAAGAAAGCCCTGCTAAATAAGCTCGTTGAGATTGCTGGTGGGGATTCCAGTATCCAAAATATGACATTCAGACGGTCTCCTATTTTGGTCTTTTCAGGAGGGTAGAAATTCACAAGACTGGTTCACATATGCATTTGTAGATGGTTTCTCATGACTGTATTGTAAAACCACTGTGCCTTAATTTCATACATATGAAAAACTAGCAGGCCTGATTTGTGGAAAACACCATTATCTGTTAAATGTTCTGTATAATGAAGAGAGCTCCAAAACAATTTTCTAATTTGCAAGTAATGTAATTTCCCCATCCTGTGCAGAAGGAAAAAAAAACAAATGCATCTCAGTAGGTGTAGCATTACCCAAAAACTTACCTCACCACACCGTTCTGGAGTGCTTTTGGACAGAAGAGTTGTGGTCTGATTATGGATCCAAATTTTTGGTAGTGAACTGAGTACATAGGGTGGTTTGTTTGACTTTATTGAATGCATGGTTACTCTTAGTAACAACAGCACCAAGAGAAGATTAACTTCCAATTGTTTCTTGCCTCTGTTATAGCGATTGACATGTACTGACCTGTAATATTTTTTTAAAGTACTTTTTAATATCTCTTTACATCTTTGTACAATCAATATTTCAATATTCAATCAATATTTAGTGTGGCATTAATATTGAGAGAAGCAGCCATTTTAGGACAGAAAGATGTACTGTTTTAATAATTAATGTGTAAATAGAGTTTCAATTTAGCAGTTGACAACGGTACTGCCAGTGAACCTTCTAGACTGATTTTAAAATGTATTTTTCTCTAGAGTATAAAAATAATGTGAATATTCTTTTTCAACGCGCATATGTGATTATTGTTTTTCATGTTTTCATTTACCACTGCAAACTGTGAGAACCATTAGGATTGTCAGATGGAAAACATAAAATGAAAAAAACTTTTGTTTGGTGTTCTTGATTAAACTGGTTTCAATCGTCTCTGCATTGTCACTGATTCAATTGTCAAAGTAGAGTAGCCAAGCAGGTAACCTCGTTATAAAGGAATTTTTATATATCCACAAGCAATGTATTCTTCTACAATAATGTAACTTGTGGTTAGACTTGTGATTTATTTTAATTACCACTCAGTTGTAGCTTTTGCTAAACATTCGGTTCCAGCAAAAGCAATTCCCGTCTATTAAGTCGGTTTGTTTAAGATTTTCAGATGTATTGCAAAACTTCTCATGAGAATGTGGTGTATGAGAAATACTGCCAGCACGTCTTTATGGTCCAAGAGCTTTGTGGTTACAAAAACCTTTTAAAACAAAACAGTGTGCAACTGAAGACTCTAGAACACTTTAAATATTTATACACATCTGACAAAGAGAAAGAGCAACAGTGAGTGTACAGTACCTGGGTATCAATTGAAACAATAGCTTCATTTATTCTGCAATGCCTGATGCATATATTTTTGGTTGCATCAGTTATGCTGACTTTAGACATGACTGGCTGTGTTACATTAAGTCCTCCACCACACAATGCAGGGCTGTGCAGCTTAAATTGATTGTGCAAGTAAATGGATTTCCTTGGCACTATCCAGTGGGTTTGTACGGATATTGATGCAATGTATGGTCCAGCTAAGGAACTTTCTGGTGCATTTGGTGTCCCTTAAAGGGGTCATATGATGCGATTTCAATTTTTCCTTTCTCTTTGAAGTGTTACAAGCTCTTGGTGCATAAAGAAGATCTGTAAAGTTGCAAAGACTAAAGTCTTAAATCCAAAGAGATTTTCTTTATAAAAGTTAAGAGTCAACCACGCCTACCTAAAACGCCTCATTTAAACACGCCCCCACATGTTTACGTCACGATGTGGGAAGATTTGCATAACGTCGCCCAAATGTTCACGCAAAGAAAGAAGGCGTAACTTTTATTCTCGCTGTAGTATTGTTGCTGCCACCATGTCGTGAAGGCGCTGTGTGTTTCGTTGTGAAAGCGAAACTACTTTGTTTGGCCTTCCAAAAGAGGACGATATCCGCTTCATCATGCCTAGAGCTGATCCGTGCTGGTCGCTGAGGAAATACATCAACTTCGTGCTGTGGATCGCCGGATCGGCTTTTACCGTGGACTAAGCGGAGTCCAGCCCGGTGTCGTCACATGTGGTTGCCGTAAGCCCGCCGACCGCGCCGTTCTCAAGCCTGCACGACACCGCTCACTCTAGCCGCTGGCCTCCGCTCACTCTAGCCGCCGTGTGTTTCGTTGTGAAAGCGAAACTACTTTGTTAGAACTAGAAATCAGTGGTTAAGTTGTATTTACAACACTGTTCCAGAACACTTCAACCCAAATATTCAGATGTGTGCAGCACATTTTATGGAGGACTGTTTACTGATCCTGGGAGAGTAACGTTAGACTAAAATGCCGGCAGTTCTGACTCACGTAAGTACGTTTTCATTTAAAGGATTTGCCACTGACGATTCAAACACGAGTTTTGAGCAGTGTAGAGTAGCACTTGTTGTTTGTCATTTCTCTGATCACCGTTTCAGAAAGGCGGGGCATAGAGGAGAAACAATAATGTACAGTATGTGGAAAATAATGTGTTTTTTTTACTTTAAACCGCATAAACAAATTTCATTATACCAAATACTCAAAATAATGTTCTTTTTAGCAACATCATATGACCCCTTTAAAGCTCAACTATATAAAACACGGTGTAAATAATTTATTAATAATTAAATAAATAGCTGCATATTACATTTAATTAAAGATGGCAGATAGTAGCACATAAAAGAGATATGTTTGCACACCCATAAATGTCACATATAATCAAACGAAGTGAGATTAGTGGTCAGTAAAACTGCCAGGGACATGTCAGTGAGACTGAAACAAAATGCAATATGTGTCAGATGTTATTTTAAAATCTGAATTGCTTGACAGTCCCAGTCCTTAACAGACTAATGCTGGATTTTTATTTCATGTGACTCAGCAGAAATATGATTACTGAGTCGCAGAGAAAGAGAATTAGTATGGAAAAATAGAATGAGGCCTGTAAAAACATCCCACTGAACATGAAGCAGGCACTTGTACTGCACTTCCTGATAGGTTAGCAGGTTTTCTGCACAGAGGTACTGAGCAGAGTTGTAGAGTTTTAGCACCAAATCCTGGCGTCGAGCAGAATGGAGGCCTTTTCTACCTCTCAACGTTGCACTAACAGAGGAGCCTCACAGAGGGCCCATTGTGCACCGGGGCCCGGCAGATCCCTACATGAAAGCAGAGTATCCCTCATGCTCACCTCAGGAAAAGGAAGACAAATATCTCATACTTAGAACTGAATAACTTATGTGTCTCTTCAGGAAACAAAAAAGAAAGATGGTTGTAAGGGATTAAAGGATTTTCGCAGTTGGGGGTCTGTCAGCGTGCAAACTGTGTGTCTGTTCAGTGTGTGTGTGTGATGCAGTGTGGTATGGGGTGGGCGCTGCTGTAGAAACTCGATTTCTCCCTTTTCTCAGTCTCACTTCTTACCTTCACACATACAGACAGGTAGGGCACACGGGTCTGGGAGTGTGTGCACACGTACACGTCACACACTCAGAAGCATCCACACACAGATACACACTCACCGTGAGTGACCCATTGCCATTGGCCAGGCCCACCAACCCTCTGCCTGTCCGAGCTGAAGAACAGGACCATTTGGGAAAGGAGGAGAAAGAGGTAAGGGTTCTTCTGTATGTTCTTCTAAATGCTGCTGCTGTGCTTTAGAGCAGGGACTGGACCTAAGGGCTTCTTGGGGTCCCTTCTGCTTCTTAGCCTCAGTGGTACTTGGCCACAGAGGCTAAGCTAAAAAAGCTAAAATGCAATTCACTGGCTGTACTGAGGCTTTCATTTTTTTACAGTTTTGTCTTGTATATGACTAATTGCACACCATGGTCTTTATGAATCTTGTAGTTCTTGTAATAGTAATGCACATTTGCTAAGTTAAAATAGTTTAAATACACATGACTGACTTTACTGAGGCTGTCTTTTTTCTTCTTCTTCCGTTTTTGTTTGTGGATTTCTGGTTTGATGATATAATACTTCCATTCTCCATCATCTTCATGAATTTTCTTACAATAATGACAGTATTGTTGAAACTCAGGTTATTTACAACAGTTTTAAGTATTATAACAGGTGATCAGTGTGGTAATGATGACAATTTATATGTGTTCTTTATTGGCCAGTTTACTATTCCTTGGTTTGTGGGGTTTGTTTTGTGTGACTGATATGTTAAAGCTTTTAAGTAGATTTTTAAGCTTTATCAATAAAAAATATGACTATTCACTGAAAATGTGATAGGAGAGCTGTAAGTACTGTTACAGACAAGAGATGTTTGGTCATTGGAAATGTGTTCAGGTCAAGGTCCATATTATAGAAACTTCCAAGTTTTCAGATTAGTTATAACGGTAATCGCCAAACAGATGGAATGTAATATGTGTCTAATTAAGCTACAGTGTGTGTATATATTTATGCATTATTGGAAGTAAATAAGTCATAAATTTGGCAATATTGGCAGAACCACTAGAGAAGAAGAAATTGTAAAATCAATGAGTATGTGGAATGCTGTCGGGTAGAGCCAAAAACAACATTGGGATAGTTAGTTCTCACACACACATACTCACACGGGGTCTATGCACTGCAAACACTGTTGAGAGTGTGTAAAAGCCAAGCTCTGTGTGCAGTATAGTCCCTCTTTCAGCATTTCCCAGCTGAAGCTGTCAGGCACTGGTACACTGAAGCTTTACTGTGACACGATTTTTCTTTCATAGATACAGACTGAACTAGTTTGCGACTCTAATCGATATCACCACTATATAATCTCTATTCATGATGTGATGTGATGGCATGTGTTGATTGGCTCTCAGAAACGCACAGGGAACTAATTTATGTCTAAAAATGCAGCAGTTTCTAGAGTGCAGCTGTGCCCCAAAATAGCCTTTCATGGAGAGTTACGTGGATATGTGTGTGTATGAAAGAGAGAGAGATAGAGGGAGATCGTAACTCTTTGCCATGCTGTCCACAAGCCTCGGTGGAATTTCGAACTTGAGTGTAGAGTCAGACACTCATAAAGGGGCTCTGTCAGAGTTCTCCCTCTCTTTTTCTCTCCGTCTCACCCCGAGGACCATGGTCTGCCCATCAAGTACTCCCTGCTCTTCCTCCACTCCAGCTGGTCATTGCTTTCCTGTGAGCCTCTTATCATTCATATAACTCAAATTAGCTCAAATTCTAATGATGATAACTGTTGAAAAAAAAAAAACATTATGGGTTTGACAACAAAATATGAGAAAGAAATATGGACATTGTTAGTTATTAAGAACTTGTGATTAGGGCCATGTGGAATCTAATCCCAGACTTTTATCCAGTCAACAGAATTTCCCACCAAAATCAGCATAGAAAATGGAAAAACATCTGCAGATTTCCTCTGGGTCAGCTAATGACAATGTGAATATGATGTTTTACTTTCCTTCAATATGTATGCAATGAAAATGTTCCATGGATGTTAAAGGTTCTTCATGGAACCATATAGAACTTTTTTTTAAAAATACATTAATATTTCCATAACATGCTATATTTATAAAAAAAAAACTTTATATGTCATCATTATGTTTAAAAAGAAACCTTTTATGATGTCAGGCATCTCACCTGTGACCTTTCAACTTTAAAGCACAAAGCAGTCATTGAGTGCATTCAAGATGGCTGCTGGGTTAGATGGTGACTTCTTGGCTCTTGCAAGTGAGTTAAAGACTTTCGAGGTTTATATTTCAGTATCACTGGCTGTCTAAACCCTGGTAATGAACACTGAGTTACCCAACCTTAAAAATTTGTGTCCCGCAAGAACATCTTTATACTTATGCCCACAGAACCATGTAGACACTGTAAATGCAAGGAAGGTAACAATAGACTATTGATTGGAATTTTGCTTTTTAATTTATCTTTGCTGTGATTTTTATGTACCCTAAAATAAATTTGTATGTATATACCCAAAAAAGAAGCAACTTTTTTAATGGATGTGTATAAATAGTACTTGGTGAGCCAAATCCTTGATTTTTAAGACACATATGCCTCTTGTCACAACATGTAAATTAATCTCCCGAGGGTGTGATATATATTCCTTTAAATTATCACATATATAAGAAATTTTATAAGGTTATGTCACTTGATATATTGTGGACTGATTATGCTGCTATATCCAACCAGCCATTCATGTCCTCTGTTTACTAACTCTATTGCAGCTCTTCTACATGAACATTTTAAGATCTCACCAGACATTAATCCATCTGATTCAATGTCTAGCAGGAAGATGGTAACGCTGAGGTTGATGTGGGGACTCCTGGTCCTGTGTGTGGTGGCAGCCTCTCCCCGCAGATACATCCGACAAGCAGAACTAGATAACTACGACAACAACAATGTGGATTTAGACCTGAATGTGGATAGCGATGATGTCTATGACTATTACGATGGAATTGATGAACCACAGGTGAGAGAGTCATTCGAGAATTTCGGGATGACCCCATTTTTGCAGCTTTACTTTCCATAAATGAGTATTGCATTAGTACATGAACTCTTTCCTTTCAAACAAGCAAGTAAAAGTACTGTTTTCCAATTTATGTCTCATCTAAGTGTTTCGAATCAAGCCTTATTAATATTTGGACCACGATTGCTGATTCCTCTCTCTGCACATTCATTAGTTTCCTCCAGTCTGTTGAGATGGCTAATGTTCAAGCATTAGACTCAGTTCTAATTGTCATGCAGGAATGTATTTCTGCAGTTTTGCTTCAGGGTGTTTGACAACTTTTCATTTGCTCTGCTGATCCAAATGTTCCTGGGGATAATAGTATCCAGCTATGTCAGTCTTTGGTTTATGATTTCAATTTAAAAACTGGTTTTAACCCAGCTGCTGTGCTTCAGGGTTGGTCAATGAGGGAATGTGGGCCTGTATTTACTCATCCTCTTTGATTTCAGATCAGTGTTAGGCTGTGCATACTAATATTCGTCCCTTCTCAGTGAAGTGAAAGAACTGCCATTTTCAGTAAATTGCCTATTTATGATACAAAGCTAAGTTTTTGTTCTTGTACTTTGTTTAAAAAACTGATTGTGGACAGAGGCATACTGGTGCAGCAAAGTTCAGTGTGTCAGTGAAATGTTCTCAGCTGAATTTTCCACTGGCACAACCCTATGGAATGAGAGGCAGACGCTGGCATTTTTTACTGTACTGAAATACACTCATAATCAATAGTTGTACAACACTAGTCATTCTCGTGCTTGTCAGATTTTTTTCACTTAAGTGGCATTTTTTGCCTGGATGCACAATAACATCATTGGTGGTAGCTCAAAGCATCTAATTTTGCCAAAGTTTTCGGTCTAGTTGGTTGTCATTTCCTAAATTACATTTGTAGCAGCATCCACATTGAAAATATTTTCATTTTAAAGGAGTGTTTTAGTTAAGAACATTAATTTGGGAATGTCTGGTATTATTATACTTAATGTTGCACATCTTTACACGCTTTATTGTATTAAATGTTGTTGTAAACTGAGTTGTGCACTGAGGTTTGATAGCCAGAAGTTAAGCTGCGGGTATGAAGAAATGTATTCAGTAAAACGATGAGACAACAACAACCAGTTCATCATCTTCAGCATGGAAAAAAGTTGGGCCAAAACTATGTTTGACTGGCACAAACCAAGATGGGTTTTTAGAAGAATTACATTGAAGCCAAGAGACTTAACTTGATCCTGATGTGAATGTTATGTAGTTAAACCAACAATCAAAAGCACACTTGTGAGTTACAACACATTTTCCTTGTGTAAGGCTCTTCATTTTCAACTCTTCAGGATATTATGAATGTTTCATAAAGTGTGGGAATGTTTGTTGCTCCTCACCATCTGGAGAGTTTTTATTATTATTATTATTATTATTAAGAAATGAACCGTTTCAGACGTGTTAAGAAGAAATGTTTCAGAACTGTAGTTTATTTTGATTTCTGGTACAACTTCTTAATGTAAATAAACTGACTAAATTTATCTTAAATTTAGACAAAAACTTATCTATAAATATAATCTTACATAACTGAGTAGTTTATTTTGATTTCTGGTACAACTTCTTAATGTAAATAAACTGACTAAATTTATCTTAAATTTAGACAAAAACTTATCTATAAATATAATCTTACATAACTGAGTACATGTCAAGACTCTGTTTTTGAGTAGTTACAAGTTGAAGTTGCTTGTACATGTAAGAGTGCTTGTAGGTTCCTTAGGTGCATGCCTGTATTTGTCTGTGCAAATGCATGTATGAACAGGGACATATAATGTATGTGCAGGTGTATTTATATTACTCTCACTAGAGTGACTGCTGAAATGTTGCTCCTGATGCCATGTGAATCTTGGGGGTCTAAAGGTTGGACTTATAATATACTCAATATACCTGTTCTAGAGGTTTCTGAAAAAGCATAAAGCTATGCCGACAAAAAGCATGAAGGCATACAATCCTTTATGTATAGTTGCAATACAATCTATGCATGTTTGGTAATTTTTATGCTTACTTTTCTCTATTTTGCAAATCAGTCACAGCATGATGAAAAATAAAACTAACTTTCAGTTTAATCTAATGACCCCTTTATATAAAAGCATAAAACTAACTGTTTCATTGCTTCCACCACAGAAAGATACTTTCAAACTTCAACTTTCAACATTTATTCAGAGTACATTACTTTATAAAATCATCTTTTGTCTACCCTTTCTGACTGAAGAACAAAATGCTGACAGGCTTGTGAGTCACAGGCCTGGCTGCTGTAGAACAGATTTAGGTAGGGGTTCCAGAAAGCTCTCATGCATCCCGGTATCTGAGTCACTAGCACTGTTTATTGCTTTACACATTGTTGATTGCTCTTAGCCATCCCTTTAGCCTTTGGCTTTGCGTGTTTGGCTAGGTTTTTGTATGAAAAAGCAAGCATATTCTAAGCAAGGCCTCTCAAAGGCTTGTTGTTTTATGGATTCTCAGCATAGATTTTGGCCATTTGCCTTTATACCTTACTGTTGACAAAATTAATAGTGTAGTGCATTTGAGTAAAATAACTGTTCTATAGCTTAATAATGGTGTTTTTTGAAATATTGTTTAGTATGATAGGTTCAAGTTGACCATTCTGTGAGACAACTGAGAGACATCTCTGGAGTTAATTCAACACTCTGGAAAGAAGTGTTTTTCTGCTACCATGTATGTCTTGGTTCCACAAGGACCATTTCTGGAGAATTGCAGCTGCTTGCAGATAAGACTGTGAATGGTTTCACAGCTCCACACTCTGGATTGTAGTGGAATCGAATACAAAGAAGCTGATAAAACTAGTCAACATTACAACATTTGCGGAGTAAAAGAAATGAAAAATGGACCATTTTAAAAATCAGCACATCAATATGATCTGTAATTTGTCTCACACCTTACAACAATTAGCATTCATAAGGAAGAGGGTGACTTTGAAAGCTTTGAATGCATGGGGCGATACCAGTGAAAAGCCTATTCTCTTTCAATTGGACAGCCATTTGCTGAGTCACACCTTTTACTGAACCTCAAAACTGTTTCTGTCACAATCACTTGTGTTAATGTGTCTGCATTTTTTATAACCATATGTGGTGTGAATCAGTTCAGTATAGCTCAAGGGTGTTCAGTCCCACTCATGGAGGGCAAATATCCTGCAGATTTTAGTTCCAATCTGCCCCAACAAATCTAACTTGAAGTTTCTAGTCATCCTCAAGACTTTGATTAGCTGGTTCAGTTGTGTTTAATCAGGGTAGGAGCTAAACTCCACCTTACGGTGTCCTTCCAGGAGCAGTATTAGATACCTTAACAGAGTGAGATAATTATGTTCTACTTGTTTTCTGGAGTCTTTTTAAACCAGAACTTTAAATTGCTTTAGCATGTTTAAACCACAATTATTTAAACCATCGGCAGTCTGAAAAGGCATCGTTAGGGTTTGTAACATAACAAAAATGAGTATAGTGTTCTGACCTAAATTCTTCTTGCAGATAGAGATTGGCACCTTGAGCCCTGATGAGGACATTGATCTTTCACATCATGCCTCATTGGAGGAAGAAGAAGAGGAGGAAGTGGAGCATGTGGAGCATGAAGAACGGAGGACCGTTGAGGGGAGAGAGGACAAGGAATTACCCATAAAGCCTCAGCTTATTCCAACTGGCTCTGGGGAGTCCGGGACTCTGATGGGCCCTAGTGCACAGGGAGGTCTGTACTATTCATGGACAAATGCACACACTACTAATTGTCATGACCAGCCTGCCAACCATTTCATCATGCTGTCATTCCATTTAACTGGCAATCTGATTGGTTAAATGTGTTTTAATAATTCTTTAACTTGGCTTTTTTTGTGCATCATATTCAATTCATCACTCATAGTGTTTACTGAACCAGTCCATATGGTATGGTTCTAAGTGTAATTCTAATTCTAACAACTGTTCTAACACCTAACCTTGTCTTGAACAAGAGGAGGAGCTTCGTCTGACGCCCATTGACATCCTTCAGATTTCTGGGGACATTTCGGGTTCTGGTGACTTGGGCTCTGGAGACTTATTTGACGACAAAGCATCCGGTTCTGGAGAGCCTTTGGGCTCTGGAGGTTCTGGGACCTCTGGTGACATATCAGGTTCTATGGACTCAGAGGACCTTGGTTCTGGAGTCTCTGGGCTTTTTGGTTCAGGCATAATATTGATCTCAGGTGGAGGTCAGTACTCAGGACTTTGGTTTGCTTTATATATTTATCGTTAGGGGTACAACAGCTTATCACTGGGGTAGTAACCTTGTGCCTTATATCCCTTTAAATGGTGCATATTAGATGTCCCTTTACATTTTTTAAATAGTATAGCTTGAGAGGATTCTTGATTACTTTAGCACAATATTTGTTTTTTCTGTGGGTGGAGTCCAATTTATGGTCTCTACCTGTTAGACCTGTTGGGGAGGGATTTCCTGAGGATTTTAAAGCAAGGAATCATGATCTGTAATTCACAACCATTTAACAGTTTTGTATCGGTTAAAATTTTGATCCAAAATGGGTAACTCATAATCATTGCCAGCACTGCTGTTATCTCATCTACTTTTGAGGAGGCTAATTTCCTTCTTGCCACCCCACCTTGTCTCTCACAAGAGGAGGAGCTCCACTTGACGCTTGAAACCATTCCACACGAGGCCTCTGGGGATTTTGGGGAGTCTGGAATCTCTTGGGTGTCTGGAGCTTCTGGGTTACCTGAGTTGTCAGGAGAGCCTTCAGCCTCTGGGGTTCTTGATGTATCTGGAGAGCCTGTGGCTTCTGGGGTACTTGAGGTATCAGGAGAGCCTGGGGCCTCTGGAGTACCTGAGCTGTCAGGAGAGTCTGGGGCCTCTGGGGTACCTGAGGTGTCAGGAGTATCTGAGGTTCCAGAGATTTCAGGAGAGTCTGGGCTCTCTGAGGAGACAGAGTGTTTCGGAGAGTCCGGGACCTCTGGGGTGCCTGAGACGTCTGGAGAGCCTGTGATCTCTGGGCTGCCTGAGGCGTCTGGAGAGCCTGTGATCTCTGGGCTACCTGAGGTGTCTGGAGAGCCTGAGATCTCTGTGCTGCCTGAGGTCCCTGAAAAGCCTGGACCCTTTGATGTGTTTGGAGGGTCTGGGGTCCCCGAAGAGTCTAAACAGCCTGAGGTCACTTTGGAGTCAGGAGAGTCTGGGATCCCAGAGGAGTCTGGGGTGACTGAGGCCCTAGTCGTCACCACTGAAATATTAACTCCTGATTTAGATGAAGGTCAGTAACATGATATCAATACTATGCACTTCTATGAAATCTGGTAGTGTTGGTTACAACTTACTAGAATAATTTTTAGAAGAATAGTTTAGACAAGCTTAGCAAGAGTTACGATCACTATTGAACTTATTGTTGCACCCATCAATTCTAGGCTCTAAGCATTTTCTATCAATCCCCTGATGTTATTCCCTCTGTGACACCCATATACTTCATTTAACTGTCTAACCTTGGTTAAATGTGTGTTCATTTGCTTTGGTGTGCATTATAACAATATAATGTTCAACTTCTCAGTGTCAGTATTACTCACTGTCTGTCCTGTTCCATTGTCCATGTGCTAATCTGTCTCCTAACACCTTCATGTTGTTGTGTTTAACAAGAGGAGGAGATACTCCTAACTACCCCGACCACTCCCTTGGAGGGGACTGGGGGTGATATAGGGTCAGGGGTACCTGCTATTGACAAAGATATTGACACAGATACAACAGGTCAGTATTTCACTTGTATTTAATCATTCTGAAGGCAATTGAAATGATTTCATAACATGTATCCTCAGTAGTTCTAAGACCTGTTCAGTGTATCTAATGAAGTTCTGTTGCTACCAGAGATACCTACATATCACTATGAAGTTCTGTTCTGCAATATTGTGCAGAGGTGTCCAATCCTGCTCCTGGAAGGCCACTATCCTGAAGAGCTCCAACACACCTGCCTGGAAGTTTTTTAGTCCTCTTGAGGACCTTGATTAGTTCAGGTGTGTTTATTTGGGTAATGGACCTAAAAGGGGCTTTCACACCAGAGGAACGTTTCATAGTTCCTAGAACTATTGGCGGAAGTTCCTGCTTTTTAGCGTGTTCGCACCGCAGAAACTAGAAACGTATTTAGTTGTAAGAACTCCGTTTGGGGGAACTAAATTAGCTCCTACTTTAGAGTAGGGTCTAAAACAGTTCTATAGGAACTACGAGTGACATACATGTACGCTGATTGGCCAAATGCACATGAAACACCAGCTACCCAGCATTTTTAAAAAGCAGTGTAAAAATATTTACTCCATGAACATGGAAAACAGCAATAACAGCATTTACCTGTTGTCTGCAGCATTGTGTTCTTTTCTCAGCCTCGATGATATGTAACTCTGCAAGTTGTCATAGGAGATTGACACACCAGGAAAGTCCGCTAGTTCACTTGCTTTGGTCTGGACCAAATGCAATGTTGATTTTTTTTGGTGCGGTTCGTTTTCACTCTGCCCTTTTTGCAAGTTAGCCAGAAACTGTAAACAAAACCACACGTGTGCTTAAGGTCATCCATTCATTGGTTCATCCATTCAACCATACCAGAATTTGTTTGGAACCTCTTTAGCTGGGTCTCGGTACGGTTGTTTGGTGCGCACCTGAGTGTGATTGCTGTATTCACACCTGCCCAAAAGATCTGCACCAAAGGGGGAAATGAACTTGAGTTTGATTCAATTCAGGTGTGAATACACCCTTAGTCAGATTTTCATGCTCTTTCAATCGCGTAAATTGTGTGTTTACATTCCATTTCCGTTATCACGAAACCCACAACACACAACAAAAACAACTCCGATTACGGCATTGTCCAATGTCCATTCTCCAGTTGTTGACATTTGTAAATGCCGCGAATAAAGACGTCGCTGTCGGCCGCTTCAGAGTTCCCGGTGCCGGTGCAAATGCAACCAGGAAAACGGCCCGAGGGAGAAATTGATTCTCTAGGAAACACCCTGCTGGCTAGTTCCTAGAACTACGAGGTGCGAAAGCGCCTATTGTCTGCACTAAAGTGGCCCTCCGGGTGCAGGATTGGATACAGCACATGTTCATGTGACTTTTTTAGTCTCTTAACGATATGATACAAAAGTGCAAAAACTATTTGCCTCATGTCTCCAAACAGGTGGCCGCTGGCATATGCATCAGTACAGTTTCTGTGTTTTAATATGTATTTGTGTTTGTCTTCTGAATGCCACCTGTTAATTTGGTGGTAAGGTATGGGTACCTGTATGCTCTGCACCTGCCTGGTCGGATCTGTGTACTGTGATGACCTGAAGCTGGACCATGTTCCTCCCCTCTCCAAAGAAACCACTCATTTCTATGCCCGCTACAACAAAATTGCTAGGATCGGCAAGTTTGACTTCGCCAACCTGAGTATGTGTTTCATCAAAGGTTCACAGACAAAAATGTATCAAATCAAGCTCTGCCCTAAATTTTTTCTAGCTGAATATCTGGTTTCATAAAAATACATCAGATTACAGAAGCAAAATGGGTTGCAAATGGCAATTATGGTTTACTTGAATCCAAGAGTTCAGCAGTTTGTCTAATAACATTTCATAACCAGATCTGTTAGCTTAAGCAACATTTGATAGCATTAGCTCGATTCTAAAATATGAATTTGATGTTTTCATGAACTTTAATGTATGGTCTTTTTGTCTTCTGTTGTCATAAAGATAAATTAAAGAGGATCGATCTGACTAGCAATGGCATATCCAGGATTGATGATGATGCTTTCTTTGGCCTTCCTGCTCTGGAGGAGTTGGTATTACGAGAGAATAGTATTAGACAACTTCCTGCTCTGCCACCCTTTATGACCCTTATTGATGCCTCTCTCAACCAGCTGGGCAGCACTGGCATTCAGAGAGAAGCTTTCAAGGTAAAAAAAAAACAAAAAACAATAACGTGGAGTTTAATGACAAAGCATTATCCCACCTTTAGCCCATTCTTTTCTAAGCTTTCCTTGCATAGTGTTCCTTGATCCTGTGATAGCCTACTGTTGTGCAAACAGACCTGAGGGAACAACTTACAGTTCATTTAAATTAGAGAAAAACCAGACAGCAGAAAAATGGGAATTGCTGCTATTACTAGATGTGTTGAATGCACCTTAGACAATTTTGTTTGACGGGATTGTCATCAGCTCATGTTTTCTGTTTCCAGGACATGCCAAGGCTACTTTACCTTTACTTGACAAACAACAACATAGACCACATCCCGGTTCCTTTGCCTGACAGTCTGCGCTCTCTGCACCTACAGGTACCTGTACTCCCACCTCACTAGTGCCACCTTGTGGATATGTATGGCACTTGCCAACTAACTGAAACTGAACATTTGTTTAGATTTTAATTTAAAGAGCTAGTTTACTTTTAAGAAGTCTTCCTGGTGATCTGCATAGTGCTCTTTAATGAACATTGACATCTTTGCTGGATGCTACATTGAAAACATTCTCCGTTTTATCATTCAGAATAACAATATCCAAATGATGCATGAGGACACCTTCTGCAATCCACATGACTTGAATTACATCCGCAACGCTCTTGAGGACGTTCGCCTGGACGGTAATCCCATCAACCTCAGCAGAACCCCACAGGCCTACATATGTTTGCCACGTATCCCCGTTGGTGCCCTTATTTAAGCTGAGAAAACGCACACTCAAATGCACGCGTACAAAACTCACACGTATGCACAAACTCCTCTGTGAGTACCTCTCTCTCTCTCTTTTTTTTTTTAAACTTTGGGCTCAAGCAAACACTTGGATATGAATGGCTGTCTTTAAAGGAGCTTGGCATAAATACATAAACTCACACTCACAGGAGTTCTGGTGGACACTTCCAACTCTACGCTGCTTGTGTTTCTACCTTTTTACACAGTACATACTTTTCATAATGTAGGTGGTTTGTAATCATATCTGGATTTATGACGTCTCAAAAACACATACAGTGGGTACGGAAAGTATTCAGACCCCCTTTCTGTGTTTTTCTGTCAATATGGGGTGCTGTGTGTACATTAATGAGGAAAAAAAATTAACTTAAATGATTTTAGCAAATGGCTGCAATATAACAAAGAGTGAAAAATTTAAGGGGGTCTGAATACTTTCCGTACCCACTGTATGTGTCTAGCCTCATAAACAATCTCTTTTAGAGAAACAGAGAACCATGCATAACTCCGAAAAGTTTTTTTATTTATCAAATACTAATGAATCTTTGAGGAAAACAAGATGTCATTAATTTACAAGTGCAAATATGAACAAAACCGCACAAAAACACTCTTTTTGTGTGCTGTACTGGTTGCCTGTCTGGGGTTAGCTGCAATAGCCAGCCCAAATTGTTTAAATATGTTTGTTTTGTAAATGAAATATTGTTAATATTCATATAGAATTTAACAAATGTTTATCATAATTAGCATAAACTAATTGAAGCTGGCACTCAATGAATTTTTTGAAAGGTAAATTTGACTAATGCAATAAAAGAAGCATTCTAACAATGAATTTGTTGTAAAGTCTGTACTGTAATATAAATATATATAAGCTGTTTTTTTTTTTGTTTTTTTTTAACAAGAACTACAATATTTTGGTTTATCACAATTCAAGCTGTTGTTATGACCAATGGCCTTCAAAATGAACATTTCAGAACTGTTGTATTGGCTGAGGGGTTTGAGAATGACTAGGGGGAATGGGGGGTAAATATTAGCTCAGCATTGTGTGTTTTGTATGGAAATAATCACACCTGAATAAAGTTTTCTGATGACCTCTCCAAAACAGAGGTGGCTTAACGTTTTCATTGTTAGCTTCAAAGGCATGAAAGCAACACTTATCGCTCTCTTAAACAAGCATAGCTATTAACATTACAAAACCAATCACTGTAACACAGCACAATCCACTTCTGGCAACAGAAAACGGTTTTACTTCAAACAGAAGGTGTACAAAAATAATGACATATACATAATGGGTCCCATTCAGAACATTTAGTTCCATTTTAGAAGTTCTCAATGAGCTTTTCAAACAGGTTGAGGAATTTCTGCCTCCTCTCTAAGGAAGCCGGTTCCATCACTAAGGGAATTGAGGTATTAGTTCCTTCTGTATTATCGTTCAGATTAGCCGTCTGCTCCCCTTTTTCCGTCCCACGCTGCTGCTCTAGAATGGCGCGCTCTCGTTCAAGCTTTGCCCTTTCTCTGTCGAGAATCGCTCTTTCCTTTTCCAGCTGAGCTCGGATATACTCCACAGAGGCCCTGTCTCTCTCCACAGCGGCCTTTTCTCTCTCCAGAGAGGCCCTGTCTCGGTCCAATGCTGCGAGTTCTCTTTCCACTCCCGCTCTTTCTCGATCTAAAACCATCTTTTCCCGCTCCAGGACCATCCTCTCATATTCAATAGCGGCTTTGTCGCTCTCTAGGATGGCCCTCTCGTGCTCCATCTCGTCCCTGTCTCTGTCCAGCTCTACCCTGTCTCGCCCCATCTCTTCAGACATCATATCATCCTCTTCGACGAACAGCTCGATCTCGCTTCTGTCCGGCTCGCGCGATCTCTTGCTCCTCCTGCGCGTGGTATTGTTCGGGCGATACTCGCTGTCGTCGCCCACTGTAGAAGTGTCTAGAGTGACTTCACTTCCCGCGAGTCTACCCTCCATGGCGTCGTCCATGAGGGAGAACCACGGCCAGTTAGTGGGGTTCACCGAGACGCCAGGTGGGGGATTCTTCATTTCCTGATACACACAAGGTACACAGATACAAACAGTTTAAGTAGAGAGCAAGCAGAGTGCACAATCATGCAGATTAGGGTTGTAGAGTGTAATAACACAGTATGATGTTCATAATTATGTGTAAATAATTATAATATCGATATGTAATGGCATTTAATGAAGTTCAGATGTTTATGTTTATTAAAATAAATGACATTTGTGACCCTGGACCACAAAACCTGTCATAAGTAGCACGTGTATATTTGTAGCCATAGCCAACAATGCATTGTATGGGTCAAAATGATTGATTTTTCTTTCATGCCAAAAATCATTAGGAAGCTATTTTGTAAATTTCCTACCGTAAATATATCAAAACTTATTTTTGATTAGTAATATGCATTGCTAAGGACTTCCTTTGGACAACTTTAAAGGCAATTTTCTCAATATTTAGATTTTTTTGTACCCTCAGATTCCAGATTTTCGAATAGTATCTCGGCCAAATATTGTCCTATCTTAACAAACCATACATCACTGGAAAGCTTATTTATTCAGCTTTCAGGTGATGTATAAATCATCTGACCCTTATGACTGGTTTTGTGGTCCAATCTCACATTTAGTTAATTTGTGTAACTTTAATTAATGTAATGTGTAATTATATAATACATTCATTATATAAATTGTACTATATATTTTTATTAATTATATATAAAGTTTATTACATTCTGATGTATAATATAAAAAATGTAATTTAGTTAATTTTGTTTAATTTAAAAAAATGTTATGCATATAATACATTCATGAAAATATGAAATACATTTTAATGCTAAAATTATATATATATTTTCACACACACATTACATACATATTTAATGACATTCTGGTGTTTAATATTCAAATTTTAATTACTGTTATTTGTAAGTATATAACACACATTACATGGAATTATACTTATAAAATAATTATTTATATATTTACTATACTGTATGTGTGTGCTATTGTTTATGTATATAATGAAATCATTCAAATGCATAAATGTATCTGTAATATACTATGAAATATATTAAAATATGTAATATCTAATAATTAATCAAATTTAATTATTTATATATTAAAACCTTTACAGGACACTATCGGAAGACTGAAAGGTTCATGGAGTCCGGAACTTATGAGCTGAATGAGGTGTGCTAAATATGGGCAATATCCAAAATGTGCAGTGCTGGGGGATACTTCCAACTCTATGCTGCTTGTGTTTCTACCTTTTTACACAGTGCATACTTTTCATAATGTAGGTGGTTTGTAATCATATCTGGATTTATGACGTCAGAAACAGAGAACCATGCATAACTTTATATTTATTTATCAAATACCTTATACTTCATCTTAAGGTTTTCCCATTTCCTCCTGGCCTGGCTGGCAGAAATTTCCCTTTGCAGACCCAGCTCTTTCAAGATGGCCCTATGGCACAAAGATATGCAGACTTTACACACTAATTGCTGCAGCTTGTTGGCATAAACATCTAATGTATGCTTCTTTATAGGTGCAAAGACTTGAATGTTTGTGTATGCATGTGTAACTGTCTGCTGGTGGTGACTGGTTTACCTATAAGCCAGAGTTGAAGAATTTCTCTTTCCAGTGAAAAGTGAGTCGTTGGTCACGCGCAACTTCACGAATCTAACGAATTCTTCATTTGACACTTGAGGCACACACACACACAAATAAACACAAATGCAGATATTAATAACGGTAGGACACGTGATTTGTATAATGCATGCATCCTATTTACGTGGCCAGCTAAATGCTGAACTGCTAAAATAAGACAGTTAATTAAATACACTGGTACTTTAAATGCATAAAATTAATTGCTACTCACTTTTATAAATGAATTCTGCATGATCTGGGCCATCCTTAATGTCCTCAGAGGGACTCTGTACAGTGTAAAGTTCGTGGTCCATACTTGCGTCTGTTGTCTTTGAGTCATCAAGTGCGCTATTCATGGCGCTAGTGCACAAGCGAAGGGCACTAGAAGAGAAAATGGAGGGTTTGCGTTCATTTCTTCTGCTGTTGATTCATGGTGGTCCGAGTGTGCAGGCCGCCACCTACTGGACTGCTGTGAAATCACAATGTAAAAAGTCCGGGATTAAACATGAATTTGTTATTAGAAGTGTATATATTAGCGTAAACCTTTAAAAATGTGGAATTGATATTGAAACCTGCACATGTTTGCAGATATACACAACACATTGTTGGTTTGTTCACATCGTATGGCAGTAGTATGAAGTATTTGAAACAAATATGCTTTATTATTATAGCCTTAAATCTTAACGAAAGCATTCGTTTTCTAACTTTCAGGATGTGCTTGTTTACAAACAATTAAATGACTTTCAAAATCGTTTCTTCGTAAAACTGTAGTTTCGCAGTGGGGGCAGTGATAATGTAGTGATGGTCGAGAGTCAAATCCACATCTGTGAATGGAGAAACCTACAGCATGAAAAATTGTATATTATGAAATGAATGCTGTATATATATTCAAGAAAAACACACTGTAGATGTACGCACCCTCGTGGAAAACTGCCCTGTTAAAATGTCGTGTCATATGCAGCTTTAATTTGTCATTTCTGGTAGATTTAAATACAGTCTCAGAGCAAATAAAGGGGCAATGGAAACCACTGCAGCACGTCGTGCATTGATGTAAGGGGGCAGTAAAGTGGCCTTTCTGAATCGTTATATGTGTCTAAAAGAAAAACAAGACTACAAATTAATCCGCCAGGAACTTCTAGTCGATATTTTACTTTATAACAGTACAGTAATAGAGGAAAACTGGGTATTATAATAATGCCCCGTGTAAACTAAAGCACCACAAATGTGTTTATCCATAAATTCAGCCATAAGCATATTTCCATCACTAGGAACGCGAAAAGCATCCCGTTTTGTGTCAGCTGTCGTTGTCTCAAACCCGTCAATGTCTACTCAATGAGCAGCTTAGTGTCGAGATCATGTTGCACGTCTGTCTCGTAACGTAAAATTAGAATCGACAAAAAAGCACAATATACTCACTAAGATAGGACCAGATGTGCTTTCTTTCATTTTTACATTGTCACTTGTCATGATTACTAGTGTTGGGTCGTTCTTGAACGATTCGTTCGTTTTGAACGAATCTTTAATGTGACTCGGGAAGAACGAGTCGTCTCGGGGAGTGATTCGTTCAGTCGCGCATGCGCAACATCCTATAGGTTCTGTACTGGAATTAGTCAAGTAGTT